TACGACTCTATCATCTCACTATGGGTCACACACACACTCACACACACGCTCACACACGGACTGGGTCTCAGAGGGGGACAGCATACAGAGACTGCGGTCCCCACACACACTGATCAAAACAATGTATTTGTCAGAAAAGAGAAGTCTTTCATGGGACACACACGCACACACACAGAGGTGTTGGAGGCCTCTCCCCATGCCCTTGTTCTGGACAGCCCAATTATCTCTCTGCACCTCACTGTTTTCCCTTCAATTCTCTCTCTCTCTCTCTCTCTCTCTCTCTCTCTCTCTCTCTCGCTCTCATTCTTATCCTCTCTCAATGTAGTTTTTGTCTTTTTTCATCTGCAGCCACTTTTTTCATTCATCCAATAACTGATTGACTGTTAAATCACTTTCAAAGTCTCATTTGAAATGCTGACGGTGACATTGATGTCGTCTAGAAAAGAAAAGAAAAAAATATATATATACACACACACACACACACACACACACACAACAACAGCATTTGTTGGTCTGTGCCGATGAAATGTTTTGGTTAATACTGAAATTATCAACAGAAAACCAATAAAAAACAATTCTTGTGTTTTTAGTTTTAAACTGTTGGTCAAAATAAACTGTAAATGTCAGATTGGGCTTTAGGGAACTGGGATGGGCATCTTTGACTATTTCTTTCCAATTTAAAGACTTTATTAAATACAAAGGGGAAAACAATCATAGTTGCAGCGCTACTTTAGATGACTTCTAAGTGAAAACACACTTTTATTGTAAATTCCCAAATATTGTTTTATATTTTTTGCTTTTGATAGAGAGATATCTATAGATATTTGTAGATAATGAGTAAAATATCTGACCTGACTGTCATCATGAGATAAGTATGAGTAAAGCATAACAACATATCCTGATTATGTTAGTGGGATTAAGAACATTGCTGGAGTTGTGTTAATAGAAGCCAGTCATAACCACATCTCTATACCATACATGTGCAGTTTGGGATATTTATGGGGTAATAGGCACATCACTGTGTACATGTAAAGGTAGCCCGTCTTTGACCACTTCCTCTGATCCTGGTGGTGTGGGAAGAGTGCGAGGCAACTTCTGAAGAGAGCGTTATACCCCTACTGAGGGCAAGGAGCTTTAAAGGTGCCTTCTACACAGACCCCCAACACACACACAAACATAGGAACACTGAGATCACTGAAGCGTGTCGGCCAAACTTTCTTAGTCACCCTCTGTCTGTATCTGTGCCTTTTGTATCTCTGTCTTTTGCTTCTGTTCGGTTGAAACAATCTCTTTTGAAGAAGATTCAGTGTTGAATAAAGGTATACTTTCACCAAGATGAGGAATACTTGCATGATAATTAAAATATGACACATGGCAATTAATTAAACTGGTAGTGCTGTACACTCCTCCATCTCTCTCTCTCTCTCTCTCTCTCTCTCTCTCTCTCTCTCTCTCTCTCCCACTCCCGCCCTCCCTCCCTCTTTCTCTCTGTGTGTCTCACTCCATGTGACTCTCTCCTGCTGTTTCAATCTCCTAGTAAATGATAATGAACCTCTATCTGTCGCAGTATGTCTCGGACACACTGGCGCCCCACACAACCTAGCAGCCTTTGAGGTTTGTGTGTGTGGACAGGGGATATTTGGGGACCGGGACCATGGAGCATACCATCTCATCCATATAAACCCATGTGGCACCCAGCACACACACACACACACACACGCACACACTGCCCCACAGCTATTGAGACGGGATTAGGGCACCCTTGTGTCGGCCTTTGAGGCAAAGAGAGATAGGAATCTTTGTGTGTGTGTGTGTGTGTGTGTGTATAAGTCAGTATGGGTGTCATGGATGTATGATTGAAGACGTTATTAACCCCACGATCCCCTGCAGCTCTGCAGCTGAAGTTCTGCAGTGTGTGTGTGTGTGTGTGTGTACGCACACGAGATGTGCAAGGGGAAAAAGTGACTGACCGTGTTCTCCATGAATTGTCGATGTGAATCTTTAAATCACTGTATGTGTATGTGTTTCTGTGTGTGAAGACACCATCTGATGCCTCCGGGCCTTACAGTCCTGTGGTGTGCGTGTGTGTGTGTGTGTGTGGTCCCACACGATGTGTGTGTGTGTGTGTGTATGTGTGACTGGGGTATTGGTCCTGTATGGTACAATGGTGATAAGGACAACTAGCAGGAGACCTGATCGTCAGGGGTGCCAGTGTGTTTGTGTGTGTATGTGTTTATGATGCCCACTTTTCATCTGGCCTTTCACCGTGGGTGCTGTGATGTCACTGACACCTTCTTAAAATAGACACAGGCACACACAAACATAATCCAACTAGGAAGGATGGAGGCTTGGGGACAGTCTCTTGTGTGTTTGTGACAAATATAAAGCTGAAGTGTGGCGTGTAAATTCATTCATCTGCTGTATACACCGTCTCGGCAGTCCATGCAAATGGTTCAGTGACGAGCCCTGTGATCACTGTCAATTGCGTCTGAATAAGAGATTGTGGGAGGCGTGTCCACCTTAAATGACAGTCTGATAAGAGCACAGGTGTATGGACGGAGAGACATGGTAGTAAGGAGACATTCAGAGACGTAAGCACAGTCTGTGTGAGGAGAGGTAACACGGGGTGAGGGGTTTGAATCGGACCCCACACAAATTAATCTGCAAGTGATGGACCAAGAGGGGCGTTAAGGGGACATGGAGGGAGGAATGGGCAAAGTGAGGGATGGACGAGCGACTGCAGTGGGCGAAGGCAGATAACGAGGAAGGAGGGAGCGAGGGAAGGATGGCCATAGGAAGGGTAGATCATCCACAGCCCTGGTGGGGAGGACAGGCAATTACCAACTGGGGCAGATATGGCACTGGGATTGGTGTGTGTGAGTGTTGGGGGGGTTTGGGGGGTGGGGGAGGAAAAATGAGAAGGAGAGCATGCAGCAAGGGTTGACGACTTAACTGATCTGGAGCTGAACCTTAAAATCGTATAGTTCTTCAAATGAAATGAAAATGTTTGCCAATGGTTTGAGATTATTATTATTATTCACTCGTTTGCTGTTTAATGTAAAAATACAAGTTGTGAAAATGCTTAAATTATGTATATTTAATTCTAGTTAGTTAGTAAGAGAATATGACCGATTGGAATATCACTTCTATTGATATTCCAGTTATTGCTGTGTGGTTTACGTGTGCATTTCTTCTTAGCTGACTGTTTTCTGTATGTGCAGACATCTGCCCTGAGCGTCGTATGAATATTCTAAAATGGTGTCGTATGTTCCTGTTTTCGTGTTGCTTAACCCAACCTACATATGCGTGTCTGTCTCCTATTTGCAGAGGAGGGCATCAATCACGAATGCAAGCTGTGTAACCAGATGTTTGATTCACCTGCCAAGCTGCTTTGCCACCTGATAGAGCACAGCTTCGAAGGCATGGGAGGTACCTTCAAGTGTCCCGTCTGCTTCACAGGTGAGAGACAGACACACACACACACACACACACACACTTTCACCGTCAAGGACAGTAGCACAGAAAACCACTGCTCACTTGTGTCCGATGCTTTTAAAAATGGACTCAGAAACATGCATACTGCACACATAAGCATAACAAGTTAGCGCACATGAATTCACAAACTACACAGCAGGGACACACACTCTAGTATACCGCAAGAAACTATTATTAATAATAATAATAATAAGGGATAAATGTTGATCAGCATTTTCTGTCCTTCCTGTGGCCATTAAGTTAAGAGTAAACCGATGAGCAAAAGACCTTAGAAGCCAAAGTAAGGGAGAAAATGTAAGGTGTGTCCGCTCTATTTTGGGCTTACTGTGGTGAAGATCCCGTCAAAGCAAGAGGATAAAAATAACGGCACACTTAGATGGATGGGACCCACATCAGGGTCAATGTCCAGTTAGTGTGCCATCATGAAAATCAAAATAACCAATGTTGTGCATTTTTCTATTGTTTTATTCCTGATGTATATTCCTTTTCTCTTCTCACCAATTTGGTTTTCTTGTCTTCTTTTATTCTGCCAGTTTTTTTGCGAGGCGGTAAAATGTATCACAAGCGCCAGTTCAAGCAAAAAACAGTCTCCATGGCTCTCTACCGCTGTAAAATCTCTTTCAATGCAGTAAACGCCTTAACATTTCCCTTAACTAATGGAACGTTCTCCATGCAACATCCTACAGTAACTGCCTCAACTAAGGAGAAATTACACCTTGAGTACATCACCAATAAAATGACTATAGACAGTCCTACCCTAATCATGTGTGAATATTGTAGAACTGTTTTGCTTTGTGTTTTATTTGTATATTATATAAATATGAAGCCAAAGGTGTTTTAACCACCACCACACATTCTCTAAACAGCAAACTGTTCATGTCTTGTCACTTATTTTAGTCAAAAAAACAAACAAACACATGAGTTCATTATTGCAGTTGGAAGCAAGGTTTGCACTTAAATCAGCTCCAGTACTTGTTGTGGCACAGTAAAGCTCTCTCTGGGTTACCTGCATCATGATACATAGAGTAAATGGTTAACAGTGAGATCATGTTCGGAACATTCATTGTTTTCTAACATTTCTAACTGAGGGAGTAATATTCCAGCAGGGGGCTGCTGTTAAAGAAATAGACACAAAACTCTGCATGTGCAAAGGTTCATGCAGTATTACCTCCAAACATGCCAAATATGAAGTACCCTGTGTCTTTGAAATCCACTGGAGGACCCAAACAAAATGCTGGATGACCAAATTAGGCGTGTGGTTGGGTGTATTTCACCAGAAACTAAGACTGCACCTTCCCTCCCTCCCTCCCTCCCAACTCTTTCCCCATACTCTCTCTCTACCCTCCCTCTTTCTCCCCTTCACTGTCTCTCCCCTCCCTCAGTTGTTGAGTTTGTCTTGTGTTGTGTGCCTCTCTCTCTCCCCTCCCACAGGTACACAGCAACGCTTTAAACTTTAACTCTATTCCTTGGTGGCTTATGAATTAGTAAGATGGGCACCACTCCTATGGGGAGGCTTAATAATTCAACACATACACACTCACAGTGAAAACCCAAAGTTTACTGAAACAAAGGGGGGAAAAAGAAAGAGAAAAAAGTGTATGAGACAACACTGAAGCGGAAGTTAAAAAAAGAGGAGATAATTTATTGATAAATATCACAAGGTCTGCTGAGGATAGCTCTTCCTGTCTTCTCTCCTTCTTCCTCGTGCTCTCACTCCTTTCCAGGCAGCCATTCATTTGCTTCAGTTGTGCGTGTTTGTGGGTTTAATTGTACTGAAAAGTCAGTTGTCATTTGCTTTCTCCTCTGCTGCTACAGCATACAGTAGGTAGTGTAGCACTAATCTTTGTTCAGCAGTCCGCTTGTAAACAGTCAATCAGTACATTGGATCTTGAGACATAGCTGGGTTGATACCAATGATTCCTGCTCAGTAATACAAAGCTACATGTACTGTAGTCTGTATCCCAACACCTTCAACTATCTTTCACTCACTGACCCGGGATCAGTTTTCTCCAAAGCTTGCACTTTCCAGTCAACCATTCAAAACTCGCGATGACATTGCAAATCATGTGACAGACAATCCAATTTGAAACAACTGTAAATTGGATTACCTTGAGTTTGACACCATATACTAGTGACACGCCAACAACAATGGAGATCCAGCTGTTACTGTTGCCAATCTCATCTCAAATGTCCCCTTCAGTGGTAATAAGCATTGGCCTATTGACTAATAAACACTGTGTAACGTGTTGCTGTATGTGTCTTCCTCTCCCAGTGTTTGTGCAGGCCAACAAGCTCCAGCAGCACATTTTTGCCGTCCACGGCCAGGAAGACAAGATCTACGACTGTTCCCAGTGTCCGCAGAAGTTCTTCTTTCAGACAGAACTACAGGTAGGTCCCCGTAACGCTGACTCTGTGTTGGCCTTGACCTGACTCTCTGTCTCTGTCTCTGTGTGTGTGTGTGTGTGTGTTTTTAGTTCTTGTCTGGCATAAATTAGGAAATGGTTGTGTGCAGGTACTGATCTCATGCTGTAGTAAGTAGACTGTGTGCACAAGGAGGCTCACTGTGTCAGAGAAAGTGTGGTTCATATTCTAAACCTTAACCCTCCCTTCTTTCGAGGCTTCCACCCGTCTCTCAATATGCAGTAACCTTCTCCAGTTCCTCCTTCCATACCTCCCAGCTACTGTCCATCATTTTTACAGAATCCCGCTATTTACTGTTCATCTGTATTCCTCCCTCCGCCCTCCTTCCATTCCTCTGTCCCCCTCTTTCCATCTCTCCTCGGGAGGTCTGGGCAGGGTTCTGGCAAGCCTCATGCCATTAGGGTCCAGACACATATGTGTGTGTGCATCTGAAAGAAAAGAGAGGGTATAAGTCACCCAAGAGTAGGTCCTGGGCCAGCTGTGGCCAGGTCTGTGATGATGTAAACCTCCCTGTCCTCCATTTCTTCTCCTCCTCGTCTCTTGTATCCCTTTGGCACCAGTCTGTAGGTCAAACAGCAGCGCTGTGAAAGGTGAAATCTGTGAACTTTCATCAGGACCAGAGGTGTTCGCTAAAAACAGTTGTTCTGGAAGAGTGTGTGAAAGCCTGCAGTTTATTCAAAAATAATAGAACTGCTTGCATTGCATTGAAGATCATTTATTACTACTGTCATTAGCCAAGTACTGAGAGTATCACAAGTGATACATTTTCTGGTGTTTTACGATTCTACTAGACAGATTAAATGATTAATAATTGATTACCAAAAAAATACTAGCTAAAATCACACAAGCTACAGTCTATCTTTAAGTGGAGTCTGCCAAAGCACCTCAACCATCATCCTGTTTGAGAGGCAGAACAGATTGTGCTTGGTGTAATGTTTTAGTGTTGAACCTGCATACACCACAGTCTGTGAATACAGATGTTCCACTGTTTTAGACAGGAGATGCTCATTCATTTACAGGTTAGCATGCTGGAATGTTTCAGAAAGGTGAAAAGTGGCTTTTGCTTGGAAGCTACAAGTAGAACTTCTCTGGCCATGACAGGGCTACAGGGTCATCTACAGGGTCCACCTCAGAAGGATATGGTCGGGTTCGCAGTATAGTGTTTGGTTTTTGATAAGCAGCTCCGTTGATTCTACTCAATTCTTCATATCTGACTGCTAACTAAATAACTACATCTAGCTAATGGTGAGACACCTCAGGATCTCACTATCGGTAACAAACACCCACAGAACACAAGAGAGACTGGTTTGCCTTCACTCCACGTCAGTTTGTTTGCATCACACAGAGTACAAGCAAACCGAGTTGTCCCAGGATCACCAACGTCACAATAGAAGCACACATCCCTCATAGCTTCGCTCTGCCCCGGGTCTGGGTGACTTAACTGTCCCAGGAGACCCCGGGGTTCCTGCATCCCTGCCTCTAGGCTCTTGAATTTGTTCCGCACCTCCGGGTGTCTGATTAATCACCAGCCTCCTTCCCGACCCGTCTTCCTCTGATACACGCCGCGGGTCATGGTTACCTGCTTATGTTTCTCACCGGTTAGAAATCCTACACTCGCATCACATCTGCTCCTGGCCCTCTACCTATTGCCCTTGAGTAACCTCCCGCTGCTATCACCCAGGCCACTGTGCACCTTATGCTGACCAGCCTAAACCCAAGGGAACAGCGAAGCAACTGAAACAGAGCCTGGATGGCGACAAAATCACATTTTGGGATGAGTTGTGCATGAGAACGGGCTACGAACCTCGAGTTCCTGTCTTCTAAATGATCCATGTTTTAGCCATCCATCAGACCCCCCCTTTATACCGGCATCAGCGGGCGCTCCACTGTTGTCTGACAGCTCCCTTGTCTTTACCACCTGGCTCGGCATCCTGTTTCTCATGCACACAATCAAGCTGCTGTCTCTACAAATAGTGAACTTTTCTTTAGATGTGATTTAAAGGATACAAAGATTCATAAGTGCGCATATACTTACTGTAGGTGATTGGGTAATGCATTCGAACAGTGGAGACATACTGTACATCAGATTATTGATATCAATACATGAAGATACATTCAATACACACATACAGTTTCCTACCACA